GCCAAGAGTGTGGTTGCCATAGCGACGTTGTCCTGTGCGAAGCGGTTGCGTGCAGAAACCCTCGCTGCAACTTTCAGAAGGTAAAAGAAGACAGGGACATCCTGGCAGGAACTGAACGAGTGGGAGGCTCCGAGGCTGAGTCACTCTTCCTAAGCTTCTGCTTTAGATGCCGAAGAAGGTTGCAGCTTCCGTCTAGGGCAGTGATGGCGAACCTTTTAGAGACCGAGTGCCCAAACTTCAACCCAAAACCCACTTATGTATCGCCGGGTGCCGGGTGGGTGTGGCCTGCTGGCTGGGCGTGGCTACAGTGGTCATGGCAGATGGGTGGGCGTGGACAACTCAATGTTGCTCCTGGGGATGGACACCTGTGGGGGCTGGGCAGGGTTGGGGGAGATCCACGGAGTCTCTGGCGGGTGGGGTGGTGGGCAGGAGGCGGGCAGGAGGCTGGTCCTGCGGGGTGAGGCAAGGCGAGGCAGGGTGGGGGTGCCATTCTCGCAGGGCAAGGCAGGGGCCTGGCACCATCGCCCCCTGCACAGAGGCCAGCAAGCGCATGGGTGCTGGGATGCATCCGGCCATGTGGGACCTCGGCGATTTAGCAGGCGGCTGGTTGAAGAGGACAGTTGCCATCTCCGGGGCATGGCACGAGTGCCCACAGAGAGGGCTCTTGAGTGCCACCTCTGGCACGCGTGCCATAGGTTCACCACCACTGGTCTAGGGCAGACTGAAAATCTAGAGCGGTGGGGGGAGTCTCCAAACTTCATGATTTTAAGACTTGTGGACTTCAACTCCCACAATTCCACATGCCAAGTTTGGAGACCCCCATTCTAGAGAGATCTTCTTGATCAGCTAGTCTTTCTTCTTCTTGTGCCATATCCGTTATCGGACGTTGGCGATCCTGTTTTTATCAGCAGCCGCATGAAAAAGCGCTGCTGAGTTTTGTCCCAACCGGTCCCTTAGATTTTGAAGCCACGATGTTCTTCTTCTGCCTGGACCTCGTTTGCCTTCAATCTTTCCCTGGAGGATTAAATGGAGTAGGCCTTATTTTTCTGGATGTCGCATCAGATGTCTGAAATATTCTAACTTTCGTTTTTTAATTGTTTAGATGATTTCCCTTGGATTTCCCAGGCAGCTGATCACCTCCTCATTTCTGATCTTGTCAACCCAGCTCATACGTGACAGCCGCCTGTAAATCCACATTTCAAATGCTTCTAGTCTCTTCAGGTGGCCTTCTGTCAGAGACCAACTCTCTACTCCATAGAGCAGGATAGAAAAAACATAGCATCTGACAAGCCTGATTTTCAGGCTTATGTCGTGACTGCAGAAGACCTTTTTCATTTTGAAGAATGCTGTTCGAGCTTTCTCTAGTCCAGGGGTTCCCAACTCCCCGGTCCATGGACTGGTACCGATCCACGGCATGCCAGCAACCAGTCTGCACAAACAAGCAAAGCCCCATCCACGGGATGCAGGCAGCACACAAAACCACACATCTCTTGTCCGTGGAAAAACCTTTCTCCATGGAACCGGTCCCTGGTGCCCAAAAGGTTGGGGGTCGCTGAACTAGTCAACAAGCTGAGGTCTCTCACATCTTTGAGGTTATCATTGTAGACTTCAGCCGACTTGCCTGATAAACCGGGGTCCTTTTTCCCCAGAGGTCAGGGATCCTAACTCTCCAGATCTTCAGTCAACATACTTTGAGCCTTAGAGGAGACATGTTATCATATACATGAAAGCTACATGAAGTCACGTTCCTGTGGTGTAGGCTCAGGAATTAATGGGTTAATAGTGAGAGAGTTGTGATGGATAGGCCATATAGAAAATTCTGTTAGGTAGCAATGGTTCCACTCCATGGATATGTGAAGGTTCAGCACTAATCTCCAAGAGTTTTTAGAAATTATCCGTTATGCTGCTTGGCAATGCTGGCAGATGTTCTCCTAGCACACCTGAAACGTACCAGGTAGAGCTGTTCAGTAAGAATTGAACAGCATGACATGATAGCAGCGTTCCAATATCTCAGGGGCTGCCACAAAGAAGAGGGAGTCAAGCTATTCTCCAAAGCGCCTGAAGGCAGGACAGGAAGCAACGGATGGAAACTAATCAAGGAGAGAAGCAACCTAGAACTAAGGAGAAACTTCCTGACAGTGAGAACAATTAATCAGTGGAACAACCTGCCTCCAGAAGCGGTGAATGCTCCAACACTGGAAGTTTTTAAGAAGAGACTGGACAGCCATTTGTCCGAAATAGTATAGGGCAGTAGTGGCAAACCTATGGCACGGGTGCCAGAGGCGGCACTCAGAGCCCTCTCTGTGGGCATGCGCGCCGTCGCCCCAGTCCTAGGCCTTCAGCTGGGTTTTATAAAACCTTTTTGCTTTAGGCCTCCGCTGCCATGTGCAAAAAAAAAAAAAAGGTTCAATCAGTCAAAAGATCTTGCAAAGTTGGAATTGATTGATTGAACTTTTTAGTCCCACCCAGTCTGCCGTTACCACCACAGCCACGCCCACCCAATGGTCCATGCCCACCCAATGGGCCACACTCACCCGGCACTCGACAATGCATGAGTGGGTTTTGGGTTGCAGTTTGGGCACTCAGTCTCTAAAAGGTTCGCCATCACTGGTATAGGGTTTCCTGCCTGAGCAGGAGGTTGGACTAGGTGACCTCCAAGTTTCCTTCCAACTTCTTTATTATTATTATTAATTAACCAGCATGTTAGGTGCACTGACCGGATATGACATGTAGTTAGGTTTCTTTTCCACATTTCCAGTATTGTAGAGGATCTGGGTAACCTAAGAGCTGAAGGAAGAATCTCTCTTTCTTTCTATATTCCTATGATAATAGCCTCCAGTAAAACAAGCTGCTTTCTTCATTGTTTTTACCTTACCAGGCAAATCACAGTTTATTTTTTCGGGCCTTTTACTAACTTATAATTTGAATATTTTAGGCTCCAGAGAAACATTCTTTTTCATTACCTCCTGTTAGGCATTTCTGGTTTTGCATGCTGCATTTTTAATTGCTCTATTTAAAAAAAAAAACGCAACATATTGAAGTTTCAGCGGGTGGCAAGGCACCGTACGCGAGTCCATGTTGAAGGGCAGTAGTATCAGTTTTTTAAAAAAGAAATTAATAGCCATACAAATGCAAAGAAATGCTTGTTGAAAGAGTGTGAGTGGTTATTTGCACAACGTTTTTTCTCTTCAGGAGGAAACACTTCAAATATCACCCAACGCTTGCTGCCCTGAGTGTGCTAAACGAACTGAAGGGTTTTGTGAGTACGAAGGACAACTCAGGGAAGTAAGTACTATATTTTTTCCCCAGATGAGAACTTATGTGGATTCCGCAGACAGAGTCTTGAGGGGCCATGCTGGGACCACGTTCTGTGTAAGATGAAGTAGGTTGCTGGCCTCTTTCATAGCCATTAGATCAGGGGTAGGCAACCTGGGCTCTTTTATGACTCGTGGACTTCAACTCCCAGAATTCCTGAGCCAGCATGGCTCAGCTTGGAAACCCTCCCTTTTCTCTCAGCATGGCTGGCTCAAGAATTCTGGGAGTTGAAGTCCACAAGTCATAAAGGGGCCATAGTTCCCCATGCTGGCTCAGGAATTCTGGGAGTTGAAGTCCGCGAGTCATAAAAGAGCCAAGGTTGCCTACCCTTGCATTAGATGTTTCCCATAAAGTGTTTTTTCTATGATAGTTGGCTTCATGATATTTTGTGTCGATGTAATGCACTGGAACTCTGAATGCTACCAGCCTGATAAATGTCTATGGAGATTCTCAGTCATCCAGGTCATAGTTATCCCAAATATGCTTTTTCATGAGGCAACTGAACTTTGTTTTTCTTTGAAGACGTTTTGCTTCTCATCCAAGAAGCTTCTTCAGCTGGGTTGCAGCTAATGCCAGCATCACAAACGTGGGATGTGGTTTGCTTGGTGGTTACTGATCATTGCAGGCAGTCATAAAATAAAACATCTGTGACTTTTTTTTTCCTGTACTTTTCCCGCTCATTTCTTTTTCTTCTGCTCTTCCCCTTGAAGCATGACACCGAGTGGGCCAGTTCGGGATGCAGGACTTGCTCTTGTGCTAGTGGAGGGGTTACTTGTGTCCCCAAGCCCTGCTCTGCTCTTTCTTGCAAGGACCATGAAGTGGAACATATTGGTCCAGGAGAATGCTGTCCCAAGTGTGTAAGCAGAAAAGGTGAGAAATTGTTTTATCTGTCATTTCTGAAAGACCAAATCCATACCTTGAAGGTCCAGTTAAACTGATTCATTGCTAAAAAGCCTAGGCCCGTGGTGGCGAACCTGTGGCACGCAGAGCTCTCTCTGTGGGCACGTGCGCCATCGCCCCAGTCCTAGGCCTTCAGCTGGGTTTTATAAAACCTTTTGGCTTTAGTCCTCCACCGCCATGTGGAAAACCAAAAAGGTTCAACCAATCAATCAATTTCAGCTTCTTGCAGGAAAAAAAAAAAGACCTCGCAAAGTTGGAATTGATTGATTGAAATTTTTAGTCCCACCCAGTCTGCCGTTACCACCGCAGCCACACCCAGCCAATGGGCCACGCCCACCTGATGATACATAAGTGGGTTTCAGTTTGGGAACTTGGTCTCAAAGGTTCGCTATCACTGGCCTAGGCACAGGTTTTTTTTTTTTCAACTAGTTGTTAGCATCTGTTTGGAGTTAGATAAGGGTCAACTAAAATCAAGGAAGATTCGACTTGGTCTGCTTGTGGCTATGTACGGATTCTAGGCTGATCCCTCTTTTAACTCCGCCCCCAGTGTCTGCCACTCCTTCTTGTACATTATCACCTGGAAAGATGAGCATTGTTGCTAGCTCAGCATTGCAAATTCTAACCTGTTAGATATTTGATACACAGTCGTGGCCAAAATTGTGGAAACCTTTTGGGAAAAGTGTACAGTAGAAATGCCACTTTTGGTTAAGTTTCCACCAATTTTTCTTCTAATTTCTTTATAATTGTAGCCTTGTTCACTTAATAATACTATTTTACATCGCATTATGGGTAACCAATCAACTCTTTGCACCATGACTTTAATTTTATTACGTTTTACAAGCTCACTCAATGAAAGAACACAAAAAAACCCCAAACAACTTAATAGCGATCACATAACACCCTGACAAATGTCCTCCTCTCAGCTTTAATACAGGACATCAATCACTGAACCCTACTGTGATCTGATTGGCTCATTGCCAAAACAAGATGACACCTGATTGGCTCTCTAACACTCCTGCTCATTGGCTACAATCAGAGGAAGGAAAGCTACCCGATATCAACCTAAGCAAGTTGTGCTTCCTTTTTCTGGTTCTTTGGCTATAACTTTTCATAGAATACAGTACAGATAATTGAACAAACAGTGTTGCATTACATTCTTGATTAAACTATCTTTCCATTGATATATAATTTTATGGCACTACTTAAAAAAAAGTGGTGTTATTAGCCATCAAACCTCAAAAATACACTTTTCCCAAAAGGTTTCCACAATTTTGGCCACTACCGTATGCAAATACAGGTAGCCCTCCACCTAGAACAGTTCATTTAGTGACCATTCAGAGTTACAACCATTGCAGCTTCGCCATGGACATGTAATCAAAAGTCAGAAGCTCGGCAACTGGCTCATATTTATGATGGTTGCAGTGTCCTGGGATCATGTTCCCTTCTGACAAGCAAAATCAACGGGAAGTTAGATTCGCTTAACTGTGGCAAGAAAAGTCATAAATTGGGGCAAAATTCAACTGTCTCACTTAGCAACATAAATTTTGAGCTCAGTCGTGATCATAAGTCAAGGACTATAGGCAGTCCTCGGCTTAACAATCACAATGGAGCCCAAAATTTCCGTTGTTAAGTGAGACATTTGTTGATTGAATTTTGCCCCATTTTACGACCTTTCTTGCCACAGTTATTAAATAAATTACTGCAGGTATTAAATTAAGAACACAGTTGTTAAGTGAATCTGGCTTCCCCATTGACTTTGCTTGTCACAAGGTTGCAAAGGTGGTCACATGACCCCGGGACACTGCCACCGTCATAAATATGAGTCAGTTGCCAGCCGTCTGAATGTGATGGAGACCAACATTCCTCAAAATTGTGGGCTAAGCCAAATACTCCATTGCATTATATTTACTACTGTGGTTTTGGCAGAAAAGCACGGACATCTGTTCTTAAATCTGGTTCTTCCAAAACTTTGAAATATGCATATGCATCAGCCTTTGATTCTTGCCTGACAATGTTGCACACAGGGGCTTAAGTTGCAGCGTTTTATGCTGTACCATTACATGCACCAGAAGTACATTATTTTCTTAGAAGAACTGCAGAAATTCAGGGGCTGCCACAAAGAAGAGGGAGTCACGCTATTCTCCAAAGGCCCTGAAGGCAGGACAAGAAGCAACAGATGGAAACTAACCAAAGAGAGAAGCAACCTAGAACTAAGGAGGAATTTCCTGACAGTTAGAACAATTAATCAGTGGAACCACCTGCCTCCAGAAGCTGTAAATGCTCCAACAATGGAGATTTTTAAGAAGAGACTGGACAACCATTTGTCTGAAATGGTATAGGGTTTCCTGCCTGAGCAGGGGGTTGAAGTGTTCTTCTTCTACTACTACTACTACTACTACTACTACTACTACTACTACTACTACTACTACTACTTCTTCTTCTTCTTCTTCTTCTTCTTCTTCTTCTTCTTCTTCTTCCTCTTCCTCTTCCTCTTCCTCCTCCTCCTCCTCCTCCTCCTCCTCCTCCTCCTCCTTTGAAATGCTTGGCTGGGTATTGCATTTTAAGTATTAGTACTGCTTTATAAAGCCTTGGTAAGATGACACTTGGAATACTGCATCCAGTTTTGGTCACCACGATGTAAAAAAGATGTTGAGACTCTAGAACAGTGGTTCTCAACCTTTTTAATGCCGCGACCCCAACCGGTCGTAAGTCGAGGACTAAACCGGTCGTAAGTCGAGGACTAAACCGGTCGTAAGTCGAGGACTACCCAACCAGTCCTAAGTCGAGGTCTTTCCCTGCCCGGGAGCGCCGCACATGCGTGGTTCCACCCCTGCACCGGCCGAGGCGTAGCTGGCAAGCGGCAGAGACGGAGCAGGCCGACCACCAGCTGGCCCAGCCCAAGGAAGGTAAGGCACCCGCCGGAAAAGGGGAAAAAATGGCGGACAAAAAAAATGGCGGACAGCCTTGCTTGGCAACCCCCGTGAAATGGTTGATCGACCCCAAATGGGGTCCCGACCCACAGGTTGAGAACCACTGCTCTAGAAAGAGTACAGAGAAGAGCAATAAAGATGATTAGGGGACTGGAGGCTAAAACATATAAGGAACGGTTGCTGGAATTGGGTATGTCTAGTTTAACGAAGAGAAGGACGGGGGGGACATGATAGCTGTGTTCCAATACCTCAGGGGCTGCCACAAAGTAGAGGGAGTCAAGCTATTCTCCAAAGCGGCTGAAGGTAGGACAAGAAGCAACGGATTGAAACTAATCAAAAGAGAAGCAACTTAGAACTAATGAGAAACAATTAACCAGTGGAATGGCTTGCCTCCAGGAGTTGTGGGTGCTCCATCACTGGAGGCTTTTAAGAAGAGATTGGACAACCATTTGTGTGAAAAAGGACAGGGTCTCCTGCTTGAACAAGGGGTTGGACTAGAAGACCTCCAAGGTCCTTCCAACTCTGTTATTCTATTGTCTGTTATTTGTCTTGCAATAGACCTCAAACAGAGATCAACCTGGCTGTCTTTCATGTCTTTTAGACTCTTGTTCTTTTGATGGCGAAATAATCCCAAACGAGAAGGAATGGCGGCTGAGTTCGTGTGCCAAATGCCTCTGTCGGGATGGCTCTCTCCAATGTTTCACCGTTTTTTGTCCACCTGCCTTCTGTAATGCGGTAAGATGATGCATGCTGTCAACTTCTTTGCATTTTATCACTTTTTAAAAACTGCAATTAGGTGATGTGTCCTCTCCTGAGAAATTGCTGCCTGACAAAAGATTGGCCTTACCGAAAATATAAATTAAAGTGGGATTACAGACCTGGCCCCTATTTTATGTTTCCTCTACGTCAGGGGTAGGCAACCTTGGCTCTTTTATGACTCGTGGACTTCAACTCTCAGAATTCCTGAGCCAGCATGGCTCAGCTTGGAAACCTCTCCCTTTCCCCTCAGCATGGCTGGCTCAGGAATTCTGGGAGTTGAAGTCCACGAGTCATAAAAGAGCCAAGGTTGCCTACCGCTGCTCTATGTTAACAGTTATGGAGAGATGCGATAAAATGAGGGGGTGGGCTGTCCGTAAAAACTCTTCTGCTCGGCCAAAAAATGCCTCCTGTTTCAACAGCTGCGTTTCCTAGGAGAGTAGGAAGTACGGCCCTCACTCCGATTTGGCTTGATGATGTCATCAGGAAGTGCATCTGCACAGTTGCATTGTCGCCGAACATTGTTTCGTGGCTTGTGATCCTGGCAATTGGCTAATAGCCTTCTTGCTTGCCTGTAATGGCCATACTGTCATGTGTCTGACTAATGAAACACTTCAAAGAACGTTCAGGCATGGTTTAACCTAAAAAGCCTTTTATTAGTGTAGAGGTGTGTCAGCACGGCATGGTGGATGCCAAGATCTGAATTTCCCTTCCTTTGCACATAACATTCCAGGCATTTCCCCTCCCCTGTTTTGGGGTCATGGTTCACATCTTCCAATTAACCTGGAGGGCAAAGATTCACTTCCCTTCCTTTTCCCCGGCTTTCCTTACTAATCTCCTCCCTCTCTCTGTCATCTGAATTAACTCTAAAAATACCAGACAGTTCTGCATATTTTGTCAAAGCAAGAATATTCAATATTAGCAGCGTTGACACATACATTTCAGACATCGCTTCCAGCTCCCCCCTCCCCCTCCCCTTCCCCTCCTTTTCCTCCTCCTCTCCTTCTCCCCTTCCCCTTCTTCTTCTTCCCATCCTCCTTTTTCTCCTCCTCTTCCTCCTCCCTCTCTCCCTCTCCCCCCCTTCCTCCTCTTCCTCCTCTTCTCCCCCTTGGCTCTTTCCCATCCCCTTCCCCTCCTCCTTCTTTTCCTCCTTCTCCTTCCCCCTCCTTCCTCTTCCTCTTTCTTCCCTTCCTCCCTGCTCCTCCTTCTCTTTTTCCTCCTCCTCCTCTTCTACCCCNGACTTACGACCACAATTCAGCCTGAAATTTCTGTTGCTAAGTGAAACATTTATTAAGTGAGTTTGGGCCCATTTTGACGACCTGTCTTTTCAAAGTTGTTAAGTTGAACCACTGCAATTATTAAGTTAGTAACACGGTCTTTAAGGAAATCTGGCTTCCCCATTGACTTTGCTGGTCAGAAGGTCGCAAAAGGGGATCACTTACAATGGTTGTGTGAAAAATGGTCATAAGTCACTTTTTAGTGCCGTTGTAACTTCGAACCATCGCTAAATGAACTGTTGTAAGTCGAGGACTACCTGTAAATTACCCTAGAACCTTGACGGAAAGAGCCCCCAATTAATGGATCTCAGATGTAACTCATAATCAGGTCCCCAGTTTCAGTCTGTTGTATGCAAAGTAGTCCAGACGATTCTCTTCATGTACCGTATTTCATTTTGCATATTCATGTTACGTACATCTAATTCATGTAATGTACATGGCACTATTTGTGCTATTTATAGCCACTGGGTCCCGATATCATGATGCAAATGAGGTAAAAATAAGGTAAATTAACACAAATGACATAAATTTGGATTTAACGGACCTTTGGGAAAACAAAGACATCCTCCTGCTAATGGTCCATTAAATCAAGCCTTTACTGCAGTCTTAATTTGCTCTTAACACATAATTGCACTTTAATGAATTGCCGAGTGTTTATAAGTCACTCTGCTTGTAATCAGTGACCAAATTACTAGATTCTGTTATTTCAATAAAATATTGATGCTGCGTTTCCCTTTTACTCCCTTCCCAGTTAAGTTAAATATTGATGTCCTTTTTTGCTTTACCTCTTAATTAAGTAAGAGAGCTAAAGCTTTATCACGTGTAGTGTGTGTGTGCTTAGTAGGCTTTAAATATTTGGGACAAGTAGCTATGAACCAGATAAGGGAACATATTTCTTATTTGACATTACGACGAAGTATTTAGGAATATTATGTCCTTACAGAGAAAAAGAGCGAAGCTCTTTTGTTCTATCATGGACAGGAGTTGTTCCATCATTTATTGTGGAGTAGAGCTGGGAAATCACTAGAAAATCTACCACTGTAGGAGAAAGAGAGACAAAGCCTGGGTGTGGAGTCAAGAGAGGAATCAGTCTAGTGTCGCTACGTACTCACAAGCTCCCACAAGTGGTCTAGTCCCAGCCCTCTTGAATTTCATGACCTCTTATCTAACTCTCTCTTTTTTTTAAACAAGTTTTATTAATTTTCCAGTTTTATATCCAAGTATTTAGGAAGCAGCGTGGTGATTGGGTAATCAATAGTCCAGTCACAAGATCTTTCGTACATGTCTCAGGTTGCATCATCAAAAATTTCCCTCTCTATTTCCCTTGATTATTATATCACATTCAAATTAATACATTTCTAATTATAACTCGATCAATTAAGGCATTTATCAATATATTTTAACATACATATCCGTGTCCTGTTTTTAAATTTTACCTAATTTCAATCACAGTGTTCCAATTTACCCTTTAAAATCCATAATATTTAGATTTCGGGTAACCCAAATTTCCCTTATTTCATTACAAAATAGTTGTCATATCTAAAATACACATATTGTTTACTTAAATACATTATTACTTTACTTCACAAATATATTCTATTTCTCATCCTAGTATCTCATCACTTACTAATAAAGTATCCTTTATTGTCTCAACCCAACTTCTGTATTATAATGTCGTTGTTATATGCTTTTGATTAGATGTCTTGGGATTTCAGAGAGTTTTCTTTCACCTATACCAGTGATAGTGAACCTTTTAGAGACCGAGTGCCCAAAAACCGCCCCGCCCCGCTTGCTCGCAGGGCCACCCACCACCTCCACGGCTTGCCACAGCAGATCGTCCAGGCGGCCCAGCAGCGCCATGTCGGCCACGCCCTCTGCCCGTGCCCTGCAGCATCATCTGTGCACGATGGGGCGCGAGAGTGGAGTCTTGTCCCCGCTGCCCGGCTGAGGAGGGGGCCGTGGGGGGAGACGGGGCTGGGCTGACGGCATGCATGCCCACAGAGAGGGCTCTGAGTGCCACCTCTGGCACGCGTGCCATAGGTTCACCAGCAGTGGCCTATACCATGTTATGTATTCAATAAACCAGTAAGATGTTGACTACTTTTCATGGTAATTGTCCACACCTAATCTTCGCAAGCAACTTCATAAGTTGCAATAACTTTAGGAACTCAGTCCACTGAGTATTTGAAGTTGTAAATTTATCTTCCCAATGTTGAATGACTAGGGTTTCTTTTTAGCAATAAGTGGGACATTGGTGATCCATTTCTGTTGTGCAACCATCACTTTTCATGGAATAGGTACATTATTGAAGAGAATATGGATGTCTGGAAATATTAAACCTTGTCGCAAAATTTAATTAATGTATTTAATTATTTCTTTCCAGAATGTAACACCTTTAGGTCATTAACAAAAAAATATTTTAATGAAGCATTATTCTGACTGTATTTCCAGCAACACAATGATTCCTTTTCTATACAGTGTCTAAAAATCAGATTACCTTAGTCCTGTATTACTGCAAAAATTCCAGAAACACAGTTCTCTCCTGGCTAATTTTGAAGCAGGAGTATCTACAGGGAATGTTAAACAAAAAAAATCAACATTATGATTCAGCATAGTTCCCATATCAAATCACACCCTTTTTTGACTTGGGTTATCTATACATTGCAAGTAAAGTCCCTCTTTGAGCAAGATGGGAGGGTTAGAAAGATGAAAATAATTAATTAAATAAATAAATTTTAAAAGGGGGGGGCATTGCTTTCACAACCATCATCTCAGCCCCCCCCCCATCTTCTTTCTGTGGATTCAATTGCTGTCAAACGGCGGAGGAATCAGGAGATCCAGGCAGTTCAAATGAGTATAAAGATTTATAGCAAGCTAGTTCTCTACAAAAATCTGAGCTATTAATAGTCAAGGGAAATGAGCGGTAATTAAGAAGGCATTCAAGGTGGGCTGGACTTAGATCTGTTGTGGGCACGCAGAGACTCGTGACTTATGACCCATTTGACTCCACCCTCGGGCTCAGCCTGGTGATCTCCTACATCTGCTTTGGATTTTCAACATGGAGTTCCAAAGGAAGATGAATTCATCTTAAAATGGAGATTCTCTTCTAAATTCCTTCTCTATTTTCTTATTTTTGTACCTGCAGCAGCATCCTCACCAACACAACGTCACGATGACATCATGACACCTTTACAAAATGAGATGAATTGGAATGTGGTTGTGCTTTTTTTTTTTTAACTTTAAAAGGTGTCATAACTCTACCGGAAACTTAATATACCATGCTGCTATATTTGAGCAATGCAATATTGGGACATCCAGAAGTTATGAAACCTTTGTGGGGTTGGGGGGTGGTTATATGCAGCTCATTGACTCTGGGTTTTCCACCCCTGCTCTACCGTAAGCTTTGTCCTAAGACAGAGCAAACAAGACAGCGAGAAGTAGAGTAGCTAATACATTTTATTCAAAGGCATTGTCAGGCCCCCCAAAACCAAGACAGATATGTGGAGTTACTTCTAAGCAGTTTGTAGAGCTACTTCTAAGCAGTTTATTATTCCTCATGTATAGACAGAATTCCCCTTCATGGATTACTGCCTTGACGTGGCGAAGGGGCTTGCGTAACTCAATGAAGTTATGAGCTATGCCGTGCAGGGCCACCCAAGATGGACAGGTCATAGCAGACAGTTCTGACAAAATGTGATCCACTGGAGAAGGAAATAGCAACCCACTCCAGTATCTTTGCCATGAAAACCCCATGGACAGTACCAAAAGGCAAAAAGATATGACGCTGGAAGATGAGCCCCTCAGGTCAAAAGGTGTCCAACATGCTACTGGGGAAGAGCAGAGGGCTAGTACTAGTAGTGCCAGAAAGAATGAAGCGACGGAGCCAAAGCCGAAAGGATGCTCAGCTGTGGATGCATCTGGTGGTGAAAGGAAAGTCAGATGCTGTAAAGATCTATTCTCCATAGGAACCTGGAATGTAAGATCCATGAATCAAGGCAAAGGGGACGACAGAGAATGAGGTGGCTGGATGGAGTCACTGAAACAGTAGGTGTGAGCTTAAATGGACTCCAGAAGATGGTAGAGGACAGGAAGGCCTGGAGGAACATTGTTCATGGGGTCGCGATGGGTCGGACACGACTTCGCAACTAAGAACAACAATAGACAGAACTTCTAGGAAGAAACTGTTCTGACTCTCTTCCTCCCAACCAAACTATCTGAACTTTGCTCTCTCATATTCCTCTGGAATGCAGCCCCTCCCTCTTGGGAATCCAGACTACATTCCACCACAGGCCTAAACTTTAGACCAGTCTAGTCATACGTTTATATCCAGCATCAGTCTGTATCTGTGCTTGCTGCAGCTCCTAAAAGATTATATACCTTTCAATAGAATTTCTTAGTGGGAGAAGGAACTTCCAGGATCTTTTTGATTTGAGGCCATTGTACACTAAGTACTGTGTCAAACAAAACGTCCTCCTACTGTGTCAAAATAGAGAGTGTAATTGTTAGGTTCTGCAAAATATGACATCCCTCTTCTTTTCTGATTCGCTGCCTGCGATATAAGATGAGTCTTGGGGAGAGGACAAAAACCACCTAGCAATCTTTCAGGAATTTCTCTTCCTGTGTTCTTTGATAGAATCTCTAGCCGGGTTAAATCTTAAGGTGCGAAGGATATCAAATAAGCAGGTTACTTAGTTGGAGTTTTTCCTTTTTTAAGTATGAGCTTTGCTGGCATGTCCAACATGGCTTCCCCATTGACTTTGCTTGTCAGAAGGTCACAAAAGGGGATCACATGATCCAGGGACACGGCAACCATCATAAATATGAACCAGTTGCCGAGCATCCGAATTTTGATCACGTGACCACAAGGATGTTGCAGCAGTCATAAATTTGAAAAACAGCTATAAGTCACTTTTTTCAGTGCCATTGTAACTTGGAATGGTTACTAAATGAAAAGTTGTAAATCAAGGACTATTCTACTGCATAGAATGTTGAACTTGTTAGAGCAGGGGTCTTCAAACTTGGCCCTTTTATGACTTGTGGACTTCAACTCCCAGAATTCCTCAGCCAGGCACGCCTGGCTGAGGAATTCTGGGAGTTGAAGTCCACAAGTCATAAAGGGGCCAAGTTTGAAGACCCTTGGGCTAGACGCAGGGGTAGGCAACCTTGGCTCTTTTATGACTCGTGGACTTCAACTCCCAGAATTCCTGAGCCAGCCATGCTGAGGGGAAAGGGAGAGGTTTCCAAGCTGAGCCATGCTGGCTCAGGAATTCTGGGAGTTGAAGTCCACCAGTCATGAAGGGGCCATAGTTTCCCCATGCTGGCTCAGGAATTCTGGGAGTTGAAGTCCACGAGTCATAAAAGAGCCAAGGTTGCCTACCCCTGGGCTAAAGGATTCTAAGGACCCTTTTTTACTTTGTATTGTTACGTTATAAGTGTATTGTTAATTTTACGATTTAGTTATTTTTGTTTCAATCATGCCATGGAAATTTTGGTTAACTGTTCTTTTTTGCAAATCCTCTGCAGTTTTGAGAATCATTGAGAGAGTGGTGGGATATAGAGTTATTAATAAATAAGAACAGAACTTTTTCTTCAGTGGGAGAGAGATATAGGATGATTTTGAATCTCCATGTAAAACTTTTGGCCTTTGGGCATCTTACTTCTATTTTATTTTCTCTTTTTTTTCTTCCCTCTGCCAATGATTAGGATGAAAGTCTAGTCATACCAACTGGAAAATGTTGTCCAGAATGCGCTCAAAAATCCTGCTTTGCATTTGGGACATCGTACCAGGTAACCTTCACATAAAATGACACGAGGACTAATTTGATGTGCATTTTTCTGTGTCCCTCACCTTCTACTTGACATTTTACTTCAAAACAAAAACTATTTACTGTTTTTTTTCTTCTTGGGAAGCCCAATGAGTTGAAAGGCATCTGAAGAAGAAAGGAATGTGCTGGCAAGACTGAACGGGGCCCGTCAACTAATGTAGATAAGACTGTTCTTCATGGAAGTGGAGAAAAGGGCTGTGACCTCAGATTTGCTTCTTGGCTGAGTGTGCATTTGACTTGCGCTCTAACCGTGACTTCTGGTGGGCATTAGCGGTCAAAACAAACAGAATACAAGTAATCCTCAACTTACGACCACAGTTGAGGCCAGAATTTCTGTTGCTAAGCAAGACAGTCAAAGCTGAAGAAGCTTCTTAGTTGAGAAGTGACTCTTCTTCTTCTTCTTCTTCTTCTTCTTCTTCTTCTTCTTCTTCTTCTTCTTCTTCTTCTTCTTCTTCTTCTTCTTCTTCTTCTTCTTCTTCTTCTTCTTCTTCTTCTCTTTCTCCTCCTCCTTCTTTCTTTCTTTCTTTCTTTCTTTCTTTCTTTCTTTCTTTCTTTCTTTCTTTCTTTCTTTCTTTCTTTCTTTCTTTCTTTCTTTTTCGTTTTCTCTCTTTTTCTTTTTCTTTCTTTCTTTCTTTCTTTCTTTCTTTCTTTCTTTCTTATCCTTTCTTTCTTTCTTCTCCCTCCTCCTCCTCCTCCTTCCTCTTCCTCTTCAAAAAAAAAAAGCCCAGTTGCCTTTTGAAAAAGCAACCTTGGGAAAACCCTGACCTGGATGACTGAGAATCTCCATAGACACTAAGCAAGACAGTTGTTAAGCGAGTTTTGCCCCGTTTTACGACCTTGCTTGACACAGTCGTTAAGTGATTCCCTGCAGTTGTTAACTTAGCAAGACGGTTGTTAAGTGAATCCGGTTTCCCCATTGACTTTGCTTGTCAGAAGGTCACAAAAGGTGACCCCCGGGACACTGCAGCCGTCATAAGTATGAACTAGTTGTCAGACCCCCAAATTTTGATCAAGTGACTATGGGGACGCCGCAACAGACATAAGTGCGAAAAACGGTCATAAGTCACTTTTTTTTTTACAGCTGTTGTAACTTTGAATCGTCATTAAAAGAATGGTTGTAAGTCAAGGCCTTCCCGTAGTTGAAATAATTTTCTTTGTTCTGTAGCATGGTGAAGAGTGGAAGAAAGATGCCTGCACCACTTGTGTATGTGACCGAGGAGAATCCAGATGTTTTACAAAGACCTGCCCCACGCTGAATTGTCAGAAGGTAATTCCTAAGCTGAAAACTTGGAGATTTTCTGGGAATTTTCTACCGCATTTCCTAAATCTTCTAATCAGAATAGAGCTGGAAGGATCCTTGGAGGTCTTCTACTCCCCCCTGCTCAAAAAGGAGAACCTATACCAGAGGTCCCCAACCTTTTGGGCACCAGGGACCGGACTGGAGGGGCATGGTTTTGTGTGCTGCCTGCATCCCGCGGATGGGGCTTTGCTTGTTTGTGGAGACTGGTACTGGTCCACTGACCGGGGGTTGGGGACCCCTGCCCTATACCATTTAAGACAAGTGGGTATCCAGTCTCTTCTTTAAAACCTCCAGTGATGAAGCACCTACAATCTCTGGTGGCAAGCTGTTCTACTGATTAATTGTCCTCACTGTTAGGAAGTTTCTCCTGAATTCTAGGCTGCTTCTCTCCTTGATTGGTTTCTATTCATTGTTTCTTGTCTTCTGATGCTTTGGAAAATAAGTTGACCCTCCTCTTCTTTGTGACAGCTCTTCAAATACTGGAAGACTGCTATCATGTCTCCCCTAGTCCTTCTTTTCTCTAGACTGGCCATAGCCAAATCCTGCAATTGTTCTCCCTGTTTTAGTCTCCAGGCCTTTAATCAACTTTTTCCAGAGTCTCAATATTGTTTTTGTAGCGTGATGACCAAAACTGGATAGGATAGGATAGGATAGGATATAGGATAGGATAGGATAGGATAGGATAGGATAGGATAGGATAGGATAGGATAGGAGGGACCTTGGAGGTCTTCTAGTCCAGCCCCCTGCTCAAGCAGGAGAACCTATACGATTTCAGATAAATGACTGTCCAGTCTCTTCTTAGAAATCTCCACTGATGGAGCACCCATGACTTCTGAAGGCAAGCTGTTCCACTGGTTGATTGTCCTCACTGTTAGGAAGTTTCTCCTTAATTCCAGGTTGCTTCTCTCCTTGATCAGTTTCCAACCATTGTTTCTTGTCCTGCCTTCTGGTGCTTTGGAAAATAAGTTGACCCCCTCTTCTTTGTAGCAGCCCTTCAAATACTGGAAGACTGCTATCATGTCCCCCCTAGTCCTTCTTTTCTCTAGACTGGTCATAGCCAAATCCTGCAATTGTTCTCCCTATGTTTTAGTCTCCAGGCCTTTAATCAACTTAGTTGCTCTGCATTTTTTTCCAGAGTCTCAATATCGTTTTTGTAGCATGATGACCAAAACTGGATAGGATAGGATAGGATAGGATAGGATAGAAGGGACCGTGGAGATCTTCTAGTCCAGCCCCCTGCTCAAGTAGGAGAATCTATATAATTTCAGATAAATGACTGTCTAGTCCAGTGGTGGCGAACCTATGGCATGGGTTCCAGAGGCGGCACTCGGAGCCCTCTCTGTGGGCACGCGTGCCATTGCCCAAGCCTTGCCTCCCCCGCGACCCCCTCCTCACCACAGCCCCCCTGGAGGAGAGTCACCCCCGAGTATGGGCGACGCGGAGCAGGGCAGCCAAGGACATGGCAGCCAGGCAGCGTAGACAAGACTCTGTCTTTACGCCCCATCAAGCACAGTTGATGCTGCGGGGTGCGGGCAAGGGCATGGCCGCCATGGTGCTGCTGGGCTGCCTGGACGATCTGCGGCGGGCCCTGGAGGCGGAGAGTGGCCCTGTGGGCAGGCGGGGTGGGGGCAGAACGGGGGCGGAGCCAGTTTTGGGGCACTCGGTCTCTAAAAGGTTTGCCATCACTGGTCTAGTCTCTTCTTAAAAACCTCCAGTGATGGAGCATCCACAACGTCTGAAGGCAAGCTGTTCCACTGGTTGATTGTCCTCATTCTTAGGAAGTTACTCTTTAATTCTAGGTTGCTTCTCTCCTTGATCAGTTTCCAACCACTGTTTCTTGTCTTGCCTTCTCATGCTTTGGAACATAAGTTGACCCCCTCTTCTTCGTCTTCTCAGGAGGAGAACAAAGTGCGTCGCCCTGGGAAATGTTGTGAAGAGTGTGTCCTTTCCAAGGGCAGCTGTGTGCACAACGGCACCCTCAAATACCACAATGACCTGTGGAATGGTACGGACTGCAGCTTCTGTAGCTGTGATGGAGGCCAGGTGGCTTGTCGGAAGGCAAAGTGTGCCAAAGTGGACTGTGCAAAGGTAAGGAAAGGACTCCCATTTCCAAGTTATCTCTATGGTTTGCTTATTCAGAAGGTTTTTTTTAAGTGGCTTTTTTTAAATTCAAGCTGCTGGAAACATCAGGGCCAGATACTGAAATAGAGTAGTTGGTTCTCAGACGGAATAACAGAATAACAGAATTGGAAGGGATCTTGGAGGTCTTCTAGTCCAGGGGTCCCCAACGCCTGGTCCATGGATCGGTACCGGGCCGCGGCATGCAAGGAACTGGTTTTCACAAACAAGCAAAGCCCCATCTGTGGGATGCCGGCAGCACACAAAACCACACACTCTCTGGTCCATGGGAAAAAATTTCTCCACAGAACCGGTCCCGGGTGCCCAAAAGATTGGGGACCTCTGTTCTAGTCCAACCTTTGCTCAAGTAAGAGACTCTATACCAGGGGTAGGCAACCTTGGCTCTTTTATAACTCGTGGACTTCAACTCTCAGAATTCCTGAGCCAGCATGGCTGGCTCAGGAATTTTGGGAGTTGAAGTCCACGAGTCATAAAAGAGCCAAGGTTGCCTACCCCTGCTCTATACCTTTCCAGACAAGTCTCTGTGTTGGCTTTTTTGATGCTGGCAGCAACCCGTGTCAACTATCAGCGCTAGTCAATTTGACTGTTCAGTTGACTGAGGTTCACGTCTAATGAATAATAATAATAATAATAAAGTTGAAAGGGACCTTGCAGGTTATCTAGTCCAACCCTCTGCTCAGGCAGGAAACCCTATACCATTTCAGACAAATGGTTGTCCAGTCTCTTCTTAAAAACTTCCAGTGTTGGAGCATTCATAGCTTCTGGAGGCAGTTTGTTCCACTGGTTAATTGTTCTCACAGTCAGAAAATTTCTTCTTAGTTCTAGGTTGCTTCTCTCTTTGGTTAGTCTCCATCCGTTGCTTCTTGTCCTGCCTTCAGGTGCTTTGGAGAATTGCTTGACTCCCTCTTCTTTATGGCAGACCCTGAGATACTGGAACACTGCTATCCTGTCCCCCTTCGTCCTTCTCTTCATTAAACTAGACATACCCAATTCCAGAAACCGTTCCTTATATGTTTTAGCCTCCAGTCCCCTAAGCATCTTTGTTGCTCTTCTCTGTACTCTTTCTAGAGTCTCAACATCTTTTTTACATTGCGGTGACCAAAACTGGATGCAGTATTCCAAGTGTGGCCTTACCAAGGCCTTGTAAAGTGGTATTAACACTTCACGTGATCTTGATTCTATCCCTCTGTTAATGCAGCCTAGCACTGTGTTGGCCTTTTTGGCAGCTGCAGCACACGGCTGGCTCATATTTACGTGATTGTCCACTAGGACTCCAAGATCCCTTGTTCAGAAGGAATGTTTTAAGTCTTTGATACAATCTAGAAGAAGATGTCTCCAACTCCCTGAAAACATTTAAAGTACCCCAAACCTTCCCCTTCCAATGCTGTTGTTACATCAAGGCACTGCTTTGTAAAACCTTCAATTATTAACTAATTCCTTGTTCGGGGCTGGTAGAAAAAAGCAATTTTCTGTCTGTTTGCTTGAACTCAAGCAGCCCTCTCAGGGTTTTGACACTGTTCTCTTTCACATAAAAGAGTAGCTTGTTCAAGAGAGATTGTGACCCTTTCCTGAGGCAAGAGAGATCAGGACCTCTTTTTGACTTGAGCAATGAAGTCAGTACAGGAAGGTCAAATTGGAGACCTGCGATGAATTTAAGTGAACCGGGAGATCCAGGGACTGTCCAGGTAAAGGAACCGGCTCCTGTAGCATTTCCTTCTAGGCTTTTCCATTGAGATGAACCAATGCTTATAGCCTGTATCCAGTTTTGATCACTCCATTATAAAAAAATAGATGTTGAGACTTTGGAGAGGACTTAACAGAGGGATAGAATCAAGATCACATGAAGTATTAATATCACCTTACAATGCCTTGGTAAGGCCACACTTGGAATACTGCATCCAGTTTTGGTCACCACGATGTAAAAAAGATGCTGAGACTCTAGAAAGAGTACAGAGAAGAGCAACAAAGATGATGAGGGAGCTGGAGGCTAAAACATATAAGGAACGGCTGCTGGAATTGGGTATGTCTAGTTTAAGGAAGAGAAGGACGAGGGGGGACATGATAGCAGTATTCCAGTATCTCAGGGGCTGCCCCAAAGAAGAGGGAGTCAAGCTATTCTCCAAAGCGCCTGAAGGCAGGACAAGAAGCAACGGGTGGAAGCTAACCAAAGAGAGAAGCAACCTAGAACTAAGGAGAAACTTTCTGACAGTTAGAACAATTAACCAGTGGAACAACCTGCCTCCAGAAGCGGTGAATGCTCCAACAATGGAGGTTTTTAAGAAGAGACTGGACAGCCATTTGTCCAAAATGATATAGGGTTTCCTGCCTGAGCAGGGAGTTGGACTAGATGACCTCCAAGGTCCCTTCCAACTTTATCATCATCATCATCATCATCATCATCATCATCATCATCATCATCATCATCATTATTATTATTATTATTATTATTATTATTGGGCTAAGAAGAGCAACAAAGATGATTAGGGGACTGGAGGCTAAAACATATGAAGAACGGTTAGAGGAACTGGACCTGGCTAGTCTAGTTAAAAGAAGGATTGAGGTGATATGATAGCCGTGTTCCAATATCTGAGGGGCTGCCACAAAGAAGAGGGGGTCAATCTATCTTCCAAAGCACTCAAAGGCAGGACAAGAAGCAACGGATGGAAACTCATCAAGGAGAGAAGCAACCTATCACTAAGGAGAAATTTCCTGACAGTGAAAGCAATCAGCAAACGGAATGACTTGCCTTTCGAAGTTTTGGGTCCTCCATCACTGGAGGCTTTTAAGAAGAGACCGAACAATGACTTGTCAGAAACGATATAGGGTCTCCTGCTTGAGCAGGGGTTGGACTGGATGACCTCCAAGGTCTCTTCCAACTCCGTTCTGTTCTGTTCTCTTGTCCTAACCCTTTGTGGAAGTCTGGATTGTGTAAGATGAGGAATCGGGGAAATCTGAGAAACTAGTTAATCTACGAAGACGTGTGTGTGGCAAAATGAAATCGTGTAAGGCTAAGACTTGAGTCCCTTACTCAGATTCTATTGTATAACTTCCAAACTGCACAGCACAGTCAGAGAAGTGAGAGGTACAGACATTTAAAAAAAAAAAATTAAAAAAAAATTGCTGTGGGGGTTACTGTTCCTTCTAATTAGACCTGGATTCTTATCAGATCCATGCCAGATGTACATGCTGGAAGCAGATCTCGTACCTTTATGGAAGGTTCATGGTGAGGTTGTGCGAATCAAAGATATAGGTGCTGTCAGTTTAGCACCCTACAGCAGGAGTCCCCAACCCCCGGTCCGTGGGCCAGTACTAGGCCGCGGCATGCCAGCAACCGGTCGGCACAAATAAGCAAAGCCCCATCCACGGGATGCAGGTAGCACACAAAACCACACATCCTCTGGTCCACGGAAAAACTCTCTCCACGGAACTGGTCCCTGGTGCCCAAAAGGTTGGGGACCTCTGCCCTACAGTAGGGAATTTTAGCGGGGTTTTTTAGCCTAAGGGATTTTAAAGGGGTTTTAATTACTTTTAATTTGACATATTTAAATATTTCGTTTTAATTAAATTTTAATTAGGTATAACATGTTAGTATTTTATCCAATTGTCAGCCGCCCTGAGTCCGCAAGGAGAAGGGCGGGATACAAATGTAAATAATAAATAAATAAATAATAAATAAATAAATAAATAAATTTTATGGAAAGATATTGTCCTGTGTAAAAGAGGCAGAGAAGCACACCGCAACCTCCAGCAGATACAATTCAATTTATGAAACTGGATTCTCCACTTTCTCCCATGAGTTGACCTAGTGGCATTTTTTTTTAAAGTTTTTTATTTATAATACAGTTAAAAAAGAAAACATTGGACATGACGTAACATTCCAGTATAAACATTTCTATCAAATTATTTCTCTTCTTCCGTTTAGTTCTTTATCTCTATAAATACGTATGAGTTTTTTTATACAATACTTAATTCATTTCTCTATTTGCTAACCTAAGATTAGATACATTTCCATATTAATGCTAATCTATATCCCCAACAGTCCTCCTCAACTCCCACCAATAGTAAAATTTATCCCAGATTTCAAAGTATTCAGATCTACTTTTATCCTTCAGTTCCATTGTAAGCCTATCCATTTCAGCACAAGATAGTATTTTGTATAGTATTTCTTCCTCTGTGGGAGTTTCTTTGTTCTTCCATTTTTGTACGAACGCCAATCTGGCAGCCGTCAAGATGTGCAACATCAAATAAACTATCCCCTTGTCATATCCCCTTCCTGACAGTTAGAACAATTAACCAGTGGAACAACCTGCCTCCAGAGGTGGTGAATGCTCCAACACTGGAAGTTTTTAAGAAGAGACCGGACAGCCATTTGTCTGAAATGGTATAGGGTTTCCTGCCTGAGCAGGGGGTTGGACTAGATGACCTCCAAGGTCCCTTCCAACTTTACTACTACTACTACTACTACTACTACTACTACTACTACTACTACTACTACTATTATTATTATTATTATTATTATTATTATTATTATTATTATTATTATTATTATTATTATTATTATTATTATTATTATTATTTCTTCTCTGTGGTTATGCCCAATAAAAAAAGTTCAGGTTTTAACTCTTTATCTCCAACATTAATATTTCTTTCAACCATTTTCTTATCTTATTCCAATAATCACAAGCTTTAGGACATTCCCACCACATATGATAATAGGTCCCTATTGCTATTTTGCATTTCCAACATATGGGTGAGAGATTTGGGCCCATTTTGGCTAACCTTGTGGGTGGGAAATGCCGACCTAGTGGCATTTCAAGGAGAGTTTGAGTGTGCAGCCTTTATACAGCCACGATGATACTTATCTTTTTGGAAGGGAACTTAGTGATGGAATGAGGCTGATAAAAACAGGCTTTTAAAGGCTGTGTTCCAAGGGGAAAATTCTCTCGGTATCATTAAAAAAAAAAAAGCTGATTCTAGGTATCTTGTTGTAATGTTCAATTTCTCTGCAGGGTGAAGAATTATTTCATTTACAAAGCAAGTGCTGCCCTGAATGCATCTCGAGAGGGGGTTCCTGTGTTTACAAGGAATATACCAAAGATGTAAGTAGCTTGCGGATTTAACACACGTAAGAGTTGCCAAGGTAGACGTTGTCTAGAAAAATATTCAGTAACATGGAAGCATGAAGTACATGTTGATCAGTGGACACCAACGTCTTGCAAATGTAGACATTTCTACTACAAGGTTGTAGTTTGTGCGCAAGTAGGCAACTCCTAAACTCCTCAACCTTCAAAGATTTTTGACTTTTATTACCTCCAGTCAGCAAGTCCAAAGAAAATTCAGGCTGAGTATCGTGGAAATGTTAATATATCTTGAAGCATTGGATTAAGGAATATTAAAGTTGTTGTTAGTTGCGAAGTTATGTCTGATGCATCGCGATCCCACGGACAACGTTCCTCCAAGCCTTCCTGTCCTCTACCATCGTCTGGAGTCCATTTAAGCTCACGCCTACTGCTTCAGTGACTCCATCCAGCCCCCTCCTTCTCTGTCGTCCCTTTCTTCTGTTGCCCTCAATCTTTCCCAGCATCAGGTTCTTCTCCAGTGAGTCCTTCCTTCTCATTAGGTGGCCAAAGTACTTGAGTTTCAACTCCAGGATCTGGCCTTCTAAAGAGCAGTCGGGGTTGATCTCCTCTAGGACTGACCGGTTTGATCGCCTTGCAGTCCAAGGGACTCGCAGGATATCCCATGGTCATATATTGCATCCTTCTGTCCAAACCTGGACTATCCCACCTGATTGACTATCTATAGGTAGTCCTTGACGTACGATCACAATTGAGCCCAAAATTTCCTTTGCTAAGCACGACAGCTGCTAAGTGAGTTTTGCCCCACTTTACAACCTTTCTTGCCACCGTTGTTAAGTGAATCACTGCAGCTGCTAAGTGAGTAACACGGTTGTTAAGTGAATCTGGCTTTCCCTATTGACTTTGCTTGTCAGAAAGTCGCAAAAGAGAATCACGTTACCCCCCCCCCCGACACCGCAACCATCATAAATATGAACCAGATACCAAGCGTCCAAATTTTGATCATGTGGACCATGGGGATGCTGCAACGGTCATAAGTGTGAAAAACAGTCACTTTTTTTCACTGTTGTCGTAATTTTGAATAGACGCTAAACAAATGGCTGTAATTCAAGGACTAGCTGTATTTAATCTTCTCCAAGGCACAGGCATCACAGTCTTAAAGAGATATTTGAAAAGTTTTCTCTCAATTGCTGGTTTGATTGAGTAGGCTTATGCTGCTCAATAATCTTTTGCAGGACCTCTCTATCTCAATTAATTTGCTACCTTATAATAATTTGGAACCGATGAATAATGATGGTAGCAGCTGCATTGGTACAACTGAATGCCTACGAACAGTGCAATCGATACAAGCACACACGGAGAATCAATTTTGTCTAAATTATAACATTCCCGCCTGCAGTTTCCTTTTCAACCTTAACAGATGAGGGCAACTTAGCTATCTGTCACTTGGATGTATGTTTTTAGAATCTGGAGATTTGCAGACCGATGTAATCGTAGGGCCAAGCCAGTTTCATCTCTAAGTATGAACTCTCTGTTCGGAGAAGCACAGACGTTGCCATTTTTGTGGTGCGGTGCTGTTTTACAAATCCTGTGCTAGCAGCATGAAGCAGGCAGCTTCTGCTTCTCCAGGAGAGCAAGGAAATAATTTTAACTCTGCGGGACTTACTGGCCTAGGAGGGGCAAGCCCACAAATCTACAAAGGTGGTTAGTTTCATTCTGTAAAATCTGCTCTCCACAACCCTGTATTCTGCTGAGTTTCGCTTTCAGTGCTTTTTACGCAGAGCCCAGAACAAGAAAATATCCTTTGAAGTGTAAACGATGCAGATTGAGTGGGCTGAAAATATTGAATTTCCTAACTTGATTGGGCCTTGTTCGGTGTTCTTGGTTCACGTGATGATGCAAAAAAGAACTCCAAGCTGTGTGCACACAGCATGCAGATAGTCCTCAACTTGCAATAATTGGTTTAGGGATCGTTTGAAGTTACAATGGCACTGAAAAAAGTGACTTATGAACATTTTCTCACACTTAGGACCTTTGCCACGTCCCCATAGTCAGATGATCAAAATTCAGACGCTTGGCAACTGATTCGTACTTAACGACGGTTGCAGTATTCTGGGATCATGTGATCTCATTTTGTGACTTTCTGACAAGCAAAGTCAATGGGGGAAGCCAGATTCACTTAACAACTGTGTTACTAACCTAAGAACTGTGGTGATCGACTGAACAACTGTGGCACGAAAAGTCGTAAAATGGGGTAATGCTCACTTAACAAACGTCTCACTTTGCAACAGAAAATTTGGACTCCGTCATAAATCGAGGACTGCCTGTAGGTAACCAGGTCTGTGAAGGATTTGGCAGTTGCCTTCACATAAAGAGACTCAGTTTGTTTCAGATTAACCATGCTTACATTTGCTGTGGTTTAGTGTATTGTGGAAATCCAACCTATTTAATTAGTTCGTGGTTCAAGTGCTGTGAAAAATAGAATGCAGAATAACACAGTTGGAAGGGACCTTGGAGGTCTTCTAGTCCAACCCTCTGCTCAGGCAGGAAACCCGATATCATTCCGGACAAATGGCTGTCCAATCTCTTCTTCAAAACCTCCAGCGGTGGAGTACCCCCAATTTCTAAAAGCAAGCCATTTTTCCCAGTCTTCCCTGTGACAGCCCCTCAAATATTGAAAGACTGCTGTCATGTCTCCCCTAGTTCTTCTCGTAGTTAGACTAGACCAGTGGTGGCAAACCTATGGCACGGGTGCCAGAGGCAGCACTCAGAGGCCTCTCTGTGGGCACGCGCTCCGTCGCCCCAGTCCTAGGCCTTCAGCTGGGTTTTGTAAAACCTTTTCGCTTTAGGCCTCCACCACCGTGTGCAAAAAAAAAAGAGGTTCAATCAATCAGTCAATTTCAACTTCTCGCGGGGAAAAAAAAGATCTTGCAAAGTTGGAATTGATTGAATTTTTTAGTCCCAATCTACCGTTACCACTGCAGTCACGCCCACCCAATGGGCCACACCCAGCCAATGGGCCACGCCCACCCAGCACCCGACGATGCATAAGTGGGTTTTGGGTTGCAGTTTGGGCACTCGGCCTCTAAAAGGTTCGCCATCACTGGACTAGACATACCCAGTTCCTGCAACTATTCGTTGTGTGTTTTAGCCTCCCGTCCCTTAATCCTCATTGTTGCTCTTCTCTGCACTCTTTCTAGAGCAGGTATGTCAAACTCGCAATGTCATGTGACGTCACGCGACGTATCGCGACTGTTTCCCCATTGCCGGCAATGGGGTAGGCACGGTTTTAGTATGATGCATCCAGCCTGTGGGCCGACAGTTTGACATGCTTATTCTAGAGTCTCACTATCTTTTTTGTATTGGGGTGACCAAAACTGTACATAGTATTCCAAGTGTGGTCTTAGCATTGCAGTATAAGGTGGTACTAAAACTTCACGTGACCTTGATAGTATCCCTCTGTTGATGCAGCCTAGCTCTGCATTGAAAAATAGATCAATTTAAGCTAAGCATATTGGGTGAGTGCAGCCAAAGAAAGCTGAATGGCGTGTTGATGCTCATCGCTCCAAGACAGCCCTGGCCAAAATATGTGGCTCTTTAAGTTGCATAGATTTGACAACAACTTCACCCTAACACTGATGATGTTACCTAGTTTGGTAATGAAATGTCTGCAAGGAAACAACCAAGCTCAGACAGCACCAAAGACCCCACAGTTCAACCCTGTGATATAAATATTCTTTTCTGTTGTTTCTTCCTATATAGTTAACTACCACATCAGTAGCTGCCAATCATTGGCTGATTGTCCTTTAGGAGATAGAATGGGTTCTCTAGAACAGGGTCCCCAGCTCCCAGTCTGTGGACCGGTACTGGGCCGTGGCATGCCAGCAACCGGTCCGTACAAACAAGCAAAGCCCCATCTATGGGATGCAGGCAACACACAAAACCATGCACTCTCCGGTCCGTTGAAAAACCTTTCTCCACAGAACCAGTCCTTGGTGCCCAAAAGGTTGGGGACCTCTGCTCTAGAAGCTCTTACAAAAATTTCTGAAAGTTGCTGAGACAACAGAGTTTTTTTTTTTTTAGTTTCTAGTAGCCAGTATTTGCCATCGTAATCTGTCCAAGTCCTGACACATTGTGTTGTGCACGCTGCCATTCTTTGTAGATAGCCGTGACCTTGCTTTTCGAAGAGGTTCCACAGCTATAAAAGGCCTCTCTTGAGGTCTTTGGGTTGAGCTTGGGAACAGGAGAAGCTTAATGGATGGAGACACTCTGGAAATATAGCAATTTTCCTTGCAGTAGTTCAAACCTCACATTAGGCAGAAGGAAGTTAGCTTGTCAGTGCTGAGAATAATTGTGTCGTGTTCTTGAATGGGTCTGTGACGGCTCAGTGGTTAAAGACGCTGAGCTTGTCAGCTGGGAAGCTGACAGCCCGGGTTGGAGTCCCGAGCACCGTGCAGTCGGTTGAGCTCCTGTTCTTGCCTCAGCTCCTGCCGTTCGAAAGCCTGCAAATGCGAGTAGATAAATAGGTACCACTTCAGTGGGAAGGTAACAACGTTCCATCTCCAGTCTACAACACAGTCCATTCAACAGTTCCAAGAAGGCCCCACACCCATTTGCACCACTCAGGTGACCCTGAGGACACAGATAAACCTCCAGGTAGCATCAACAACTCTCTCAAAGAATGCAAATGACCAGCTGTCTGCAAGGAGTATAAATCCTTCCATTCCCCACCATCCAGTCAGAGCTGAAGAAGCTTCTTGGATGAGAAGCGAAACGTCTTCAAAGAAAAAACAAGAAAGTCCAATTGCCTCCTGAAAAAGCATCTTTGGGACGTTGGCTGGCTAAATTTTTGTGTTCGTATGATTTACTGTCCTTCCTGAAAGAGAAGGCTGGGATGTGAGGCATTGCCAGCCCGAGTTTGCAGTTATTTATCTCTGCTTAAGCCCCACTTAGCTCAGTGAAACCTACTCCCATTAAGGTATGTAATCAGTTGCACAACTGTCTCTCCAACCCAAAGCCCCGTAATTACTGTTTCAACGGCTTTCAGAAGTACTCCTGGCCTTCTGCAAGTGGATGCTGTAAATGTGTTTACTCGTTGCAGTTCAACTGTTGAAAGAGAACTCTAAACACAGAGCAAATGTAGCATGATGGCTTCACGAACGGGGCTTTTTTGTTTTAAAAAAAACCCCGTTATTTAAATAGTTTATCCGTCAAACTTCATAATAAAGAACAAAGCATGCTTAGGCATGTGCGTGTGCGTGCAAGTGCAGACACACCCATCTGTAAAAGCAACAGCATACAAATTTCTGTTACAGATTGGTGAAATATGTAATTTCAGATCCAAAATCAGCCAGGACGTTGGGCCAGCTGTCATTTCTCAGCATGATCTTCTTTGCAGGGTGGTTGTGAGGAACTTTAAAAAAATAAGAAGATGAAAAAGTGAAGATCTATGCTGCTTCTTGCTGCTCAGAAGGCTGAATAATAGTTTAATAATAATAATAATAATAATAATAATAATAATAATAATAATAATAATAATAATAATAATAATAATAATAAAGTTGGAAGGGACCTTGGAGGTCATCGAGTCCAACCCCCTGCCCAGGCAGGAACCCTACACCATTTCAGACAAACGGCTGTCCAGTCTCTTCTTAAAAACTTCCAGTGTTGGAGCATTCACC